ATAGTTTATACTTTTCAAATATTCCGTTTTTAAAAATAAACTTTCATTTATTTTTGCAGTTTTAATTTCGTAATATTTTTAAAAATACATAAAATTTTATATTCAACAACATGAAATTCCTCCAGAACCACTAGAACTCGTGGAGGTAGAGGTCCATCCTTCAGAATCAGAACCAGATGATACATCAAATATATCTGATTTGGAAATAGAAACTGACGAAGACAGTACTACTACTACTATAATACCCTATGAAGATGGGACCAGCTCGGCGCCTGATATTATATATATATTGATTTTACCCTTTTCAAGGTAATCCTTGGTTTCCACCTTGGCTTTCTTTGGCTTTGACTCGCCCTGAGACACCCACTGCTTTGACTGTTCCTTCATCTCTGGCGTATTGTGATGGATCCAAGTTTCATCCACGGTTACAAAACGGCGCAAAAAGTCCTTCTTATTGTGGTTAAACATTGCCAAACACTCCTTTGAAGTTCTCACACGGTTTCGCTTGTTGTCGGCATTGAGCAAATGCGGCACCCATCTAGCAGCGAGCTTCCTCATTCCCAAATATTCGTGCAATATATTCTCCACTCGTTCACGTGACATACCCACAGTCTCAGCAATCTCGCACACGCTTACCCGTCGATCGTCAATTACCATACCATGGATTTTATCGACCACTTCTGGTGTGGTGACATCTCTTGGACAGCCTGGACGCTCATCATCAAAAATTATCGTACGACCGCGTTTATATTCGGCAGTCCAATATTTTGTTGTTGATAACGAAGGTGCAGAGTCCCCACACACATCATCCAGTTCGATTTTGATCTCATCGTTCGTTTTCTTTTTTAAAAACAAGAATCTAATCACTGCGCAATATTCGATTTTATTCATTTTTGTAAAAATGCAAAATCTGTTCGCCTTCAATCACTGTCAAGTACAAACTAAGTGACGCAGCTCGCTGAAAATTTGACAGAGGTCACTTGAAAGATAGTTTTTACGAAAAACAATTGCATTTGTTCCTAGCGCCGCTAACTCTTGCCGATGCCGATTATTTCTCAGCCCAGCCTCGTATGGTAATATAATTTCGATTTCATTCTTTGATAGATGGTTATTATTAATTTTGATTAACGTTATATTTTTTGCTGTTGTTAAAGTATCATTTTCCGATAACTACTACCACCCTTTCTGTTGCATTGATCTAAGTTTTTTGTTCTATTATTATATTAATTATTATTTATTTCCGTTTTTCTTAAAAACGGTAAGAGACCGCCAGGAAAAAAGATCGTTCAGATTCGTAATCTACGATCTCAAAATAGGGTGTATACCAATTTTGGTGAAAATCGGACGATTTCCAGTTTTCCCAATAATTACCACATTGTCTTCACAAAGTGTCAAGCACAAATTTTGTGCTTCTTTAAAATATGACGTTAATTAAAATTCTATCAACAATAACCTATCAAAGAATGAAAACGAAATTATATTACCATAGAAGCGAGTTTTGATTTTTAGGACTGAAAATATTCAACTATATTTTCATGTTTTTTCTAATTTTCTCTAAAACGGTATGGAATTTTGGAAAAGTATAAACGAGATTAACCATTTTAGAAGAAGCAAAATTTTTTTATGAAGAATGCATTTTTCTCAAAATCTCAATAATAAAATAGTTTTTCCTCTAGTAAAGACAATCCGGGGACATACGGTAGATCGGAGATCCCAAGGTAAGAGTAGAATTTGAAACACTCTGTATTATATCGAAATATTTTCTAAATTTCCCAGTTTTACCGTTAATGTAGTGTTACTTAGAATTTTAGCATGTACACATAGTAGTCGTTCTGTTTAGCTTCCAAGTAGTCTGCCTGGCATGTAAAAATTACGCAGAACAAAAATATGTTGTCTAAATAATCGTTTTCCGTTTCATAATATTATATTGGTAACAATATAATAACATTATTCTAATCAATATCGATAGAATTAGATCAGTTAAACTGTAATAGTTAATGGTATAGTAATACAGATTTTTTTATAAAAAAACCCTCCCCTGAATGGAGGGGGTGGTGGTGAAGAACTTCGTACTGTCACCTGTCATCAGCGACACGTCAAAAAGCCAACGAGATTTGTAGAAAATTCAAACAGCCGTCAATTTTAAATTTAGTGATCTCATTGAAGTCTTTCAAGTGTCAACCAGTGTCACCATTAGTTCTGTGAACGGGCCTTTAAACTGACACTGTCATGTATCTTCTCGTTGGACCAGTGTTGCCAGAATCGAAGGATTTCCTTCAATACGAAAGATTTTACAGCGAAATTTCGCCGACTGAAAGGCGGGAGAATTTTTATTTAAAGAGAAGACAATATGAAGGTGTTTGGCAGTTTGGCACAATAAAAATTGTTAAAATATATAGAGGAGTATTTATTGTTTTTCCTACATCTGTTTTTTCACTTTAACGATGTTTAATTAAGGATGCCTCAGTTTAAGGGCTCGAACACACTGACGACCAGGTCGCACCGGCCAGGCCGCAGCTACCTCTAAAACCATTAAATCAAATGATATAGCGCACACTAATGTCCTGGCCGTCCGTTGGTCGTTGCGACCAGAAGACTGCACGGAAATATTATTTTCTGCGGCTTGTTGCCGGTTTTCTTCCAAATTAAAAATTTTTCAGAAGAAATCCCTCAAATTCAAGGCACAATATTTTATTTTCTATAAGATATAGTGTTTTAGTGTAGTTTTTGCACACGTGCAGAAAATCCAAAGAAATAGTATACAGACTGGATCAAAGGTAAACTTAAATCTAATCCCTTTTTTTATCAAGGGTCGATTCTAGTAAAAACTCAAAACATTTTTATATGACATACCTACTCTATTTATGGTTGGTATGATACCTGTTATTATACATTTGAGTTTCGATGTTAAAAAATAAAAAAATAATATTTAAAGTTTTTCTACAACCACTTGTTTTTTTTATTAAATTAGTTTTTTTAGTTGTATTGTAGTCATGTACAAGGAGGACAACTGTATTTTAAATATTATATTTAATTTAACGTTTTTCAAACAGGGTTCATTAGACTATATTTCTACTAGGTACATTATTTTGAAAAAAAAAATTAAGAAAGTAACTTAAACATTCATAAAAATAGAAGTAATTACTGTTGTAGATTCTTCGTTATATTGTAAACATTGAAATAACTGGAAGCTAAACTTTCTACCTGCTTATATTTATAGCCAGTGTCTGACGATCCTTTTTTACGATGGCCCTAATATGTTTACTTGTAAAGTCGATAAGGGCGCCATATCAGTAGAAAAAAGAAACAGAATATCTCCCTTTTTGTCGGTCGCGCGTACACAATGCTTTTTGTTTGTTGTGAATAGCAACTTCGCTTTTTAGTTAACTCGGATATTTTAATATTTCTGAAACAATATTTTCTAATTGGTAAAACGTAAAAAATCGTTAGATTTGACAACTCTGTTGAAACTGGTCGTTTATCTGGCCGCAGCTAAAAACGCAATACATCCGGCCAGCCGACGGCCAGGTCGTTGCGACCTGGTCGTCAATGAGTTCGAGCCCTAAAGCAATGTTGCTGTCAAAAAGTCCGCAATTTGAAAGGTTAATTTAACAAAAAATTAATAGACACGTTTTTATCTTTCAACGCGTCTTATTACACTCATACCATAACTAAACCAAAGTTCTTGATGTCGAAACGAAATAAATAGGTAAACAGAAAACATCTAATAAAATAAGTCAGCTGATCATGCATGGCTTCTTGCCCGATTAATTATTCTCGTTTCAACCGGTCATTATAAGCAATGCATTTTTTGCAACACTTTATAATACTGCTGTCTAATGGCAGCATTTTTGATCGTGTTATTTTTCTAATAAAAAGTGTCCAAAAATTACCAGAAATAAGTTTTTAAAAATGTTCTCCTAATAAAATAGGTAGAATACACGAAATTTGGTGATTTTTCACAAGATTTGAAATTTTGTGTGAAGTTGAGGCACTATGAAGGTTTTTTAAAGCTCTGTTGAAGAAATTCGCTCGAAAAGTTCTGGCAACGTTGGGCAGATTATCCTGGAATCTTGGGCGACCAAAACAAAAGGAAATTTTAATCTATTATTAAAAAAATTATTTACTAAATTCCAATTTTGTGTTTACGCCCAACAAGAAACAATAAGCTACATTGAAATACTAAAAAAAATGTTACAAATAAGAGAATTTATTAAATATCTCGAAAAACAAAAACAATTAAGGAACATAAAAAAACAGGGAAAAATAAATCCTTAAATTATACCGAATTTAATTTGAATTACTTAGTATGCCTGACTAACTATCGTTCTTCCCGTTCGATAAATTAAATGGACAGTTTGTTTATATTAAAGCCAGAATTAACAAACGGTTCAATAACCAAAATTCTCAAGAAAAAAGAGATATTTAAAGATTAAATAAACATTTTTTTTTTTGAAATGGTAAAATCTCACCGATATCTCCCTATCAAAAATTTGCATAAATTCAGCGGTCCTGACGTAAACAGTATTCACGGAAAGATTGTAAATATTTTTAGATACAATAAATCTAATATTTATTCTCCTAAACGCGCATACTTTCTGCGTGGTGGCAGCACAGTCTCGTAATGTTTTTTAAATGTAATAAAATTCTTGCATACCTTTGCCGTTTCGAAAGCAGCATACCATTCGGAATGTTGAAGACAGTTAAAATATTTTTGATTATTAAAAACGGAATTTAGAACTTATAACTTATGATTACAGTTATTGAAAATTGAGAAAAAATATGGAATGTTTTATCTGTATTAGAATCATGTATATCTGGTTTTAAAAATAGAGATTTATTTATTTATATTAGAATATCATACGTTACTCCAATACAGTCATGACAACCTAAATTCCTCTACATATATCGGATTTAATATTATATTGTGTTGTCACAGCGTTATTTCCTCCAAAGAGATAGTTGTAAACTTTAAATTAGGAATGCATTTCGAATCCTACCTGTCTCTGGGGTCAATCCAAGTCGTTTTCTTCGAATTGTGGTCGATAAAGTATATTTTTCCGTCATAGTCCCGTCCGAAATCCCAACCTTCCGGCAAAGGTATCTCGCCGTTCCGTTTTCTGGGCATATTCACTTTTAAAATCCATTCAACCCCACAGTAACTAGCACACACACACCACTAACAACTACTCGGCCATGTTGAATGTTGAACACATTATCAAGAACGGTCGCGGGCGCGTGACGTCACAACGCTCCGACCAATCAAAACCGCTTAACCTCGAGTATGGAATGCGACTGACTACTCCGACTAGCGTATTTAAAATATGCAATGGTTTTTCTTACGGCATGTCAGCATGGTGTATTCGTTTCTAAAAGACAACATATACCAAACGCTCGTTTACATCGATCTATTATATTAATTCTAACCACAGACTTCCTTTTATTCGGTCGTTAACACTGAACATGCACTGAACATACACTGAACCAAACGGAACATAACACTGTAAAAATCCAAAGAAAAGTGTTTAATTTAAACAAAATCCGAGTAAAAATTTGTTTGTTTGTTTAAAATGTCACTATAAAATGGCGCTTAAATAGCAACACATATTTTTGTACATTTTATAAAAGCACGAATTTAAATTTATAAAATGTTTATAAAATAAGCTTTAAAAAATTGAATATTTTAATGTGTGATTCTTAAGCGCCACCTATGAAAAAATGTACTAACTTTTGCAGAGACTTGCAGGAAACTACCATAAAAATATCTCCATATATATAGCTTTAGTATAAATTTATATATGATGCCATAGAACTTTGAATAAGAAGCCATAGAAACACATCATTTCATATTATGGATTATCATCTTTTATATATCTCTGTTATCTATGACATCCAGAGAATAGGTACATGACATTATAATGATTATAATGACATCACTGCTTCTCTGCATGACATATGAGCTACTGCGGCATAGAGCATAGACACAGGCATAGAATATAGAATGGTCTGTGTCTGTGGCATGACTGTAGCTACATTTTGTATGGAGCTACGATTGGAAGCTACAAGCTGCTACAAGCTACAAAATTAAAATTGCTAATTATTGCATGCGCTGACAGGTGGTATGCGAAAAAAACATTTTATGCCACGAGATGAAGGATTTGGGAAATAGTCTGATAACGGTTTTTAGTCGGCCTAGTAACAAAAAAAGTAAACAGTGATACATACAAGTAGCAGTAATTTTTATGGGATATTTTCGCAGGTATTTCAGAACAAATATTTGATGCATCGTCGTTCAGCCATTAAAAGGCTTCGTTTATTTCATTTTGCAGTAAGTCAACACAACGGTCGTATTTTTAAGTATTGTGAAGTATTTAATAATTTTTTTTCTTTTAAGATTTAGTCATGTCTCTTTCAAACTTAAGCACACTAGATCGCATCCAATTAGAAATAAAAGAATCTATAGAAAGGGAAAAGGAGCTTAAAAATGAGTATTCAAGAACCAATACAGAGGAAAGTGCAGAAAATTCAGTAAAAAGTGGCAGTAGTAGTGTAAAAGACGATTATTCAATAAATTCTCAAAGTGTGTCATTAAACAGATCCAAGGTGAACGGTTTCAGAAAATATACACAGAACAATTCTTCTAATAAAGGAGTAATGCATAAATTCTTAAAATTACGAGGAAAACTAAGCATGTCATCAATAAATTCAAGTTCAAATTCTAATTGGTCATCATCAGATGCTGCATTTTGTGCAGCTAAAATAACTATTGAGAAAGGGAGTAAACTTCCAAGAAATGGCTTTGTTTCTGCAGAGGAGAAAATGAAGAAAGAGTTACAAGATTTTCAGCAAAGGGAAACCGAATTAAGAGAAGAACGAAAGAAAAGTCTACCTAATTTAATGGCAGCACTACAATTAGAGGATCAGTGCGATTTTGCTAATTCTAATTTCTATTCTAATGGAAGTAATTTAAAAGCCACAAAATCAATGGCTAATCTGTATAATAACAATAGTGATGATGGATTTGAAGATACAAATAGTTCAGCTGGTGGTAGTTTAAAACCTGCCAGATCTTTAGCAGAGCTTTGTGATGTCTCGGATGATGATAATGGTCTACCAGGTTAGACATAAATAATCATATATTATGTTATTATGGTGCCTAATTTAACTCAATTTTTCAGGTACACATTCACTGATATTGCAGTTTGAGAATATGCATTTTAAAAAGAAGTCTCCCAATGTTCCAGTGCCTAAAGAATTTTGATGTGATTTTTTCTATGGTATACCAATTCCTATATTAGTTGTAACCCAGCGTTAATATCAAGTTTCTGGTTTATGAAAATGTTTAGGCAGGGGTAGTACACATTTTAAAAATATTTTTAAACTAAACTAAAATGTTTTCAATCTAGAAACTTGACATTGAACTTTTTCAAGTCACTGGTGTACCCCGTATTAACAATTTGTAAGTTATGCTTCTAAAATTTCTCTCATAGGTTTACAAAACCTAAATTCTCATATCTTAAGGATATTTTTTTATTTTCTATCTCAGATTACAGTTGGAGGTTGGAATCTTTAGTATTACAACAGCAAAATAAAACACTAATTCACCACATCCACCAAAAGACTTTACCTACTTTTCACACTGGACGCGCTGTTTGGCTAACCATAGCAACATGAGAAGGTGATGATGCTATAGTTGCAAATCAAAAGTTTAATAAAAATTGAGTTTAATTATCTATTGATGCTAATATGGTTACCGAAACCCGCATACAGTTAAAGGTAAAAAGTGTTTTGGTGTATTGTGGTGTATTAGTGTTTTATTTTTATTTTGCTTTTCTATTTCACTTGCTCTTAGCTTGAAATCTAGTGCATTACTAGGACGTACTATAAAGCACTTAACTTATTTTATAATTTATTTATTTATTTATTTTTATACACTTTAGGCGAATATGATTTTTCTTAAAGATGGTCATATATTTTAGTCTGATATTTATTCATACAGTGATGTCTATCGAAATTTCTAACTTGTGATACACACTATAGTCCAATTCAGAAAGGATAACAATTATTGCATCATACTGAATATTTCAACGAAACTAAAGAACGATCGTATGTCATTGATAAATTCATTCCATAAGATTTTACACATATTTAAATGCCCGACCCTTTGCTTTTCTGAATATTTTGATGCTAAATGAAATCATCTTTCGCATATCGGAGTATAGTAGTGATAACTAATTCTTCTTTGCTTTTTAAAAGCTGTGAAATGTAACATATCAAAAAATTAATTGTAAAGCCCCGTCTAGACGGAACGTTTTACCGTACGTCAAACCGGCAAACACCCGGTATATTGAAATTTGGGTAAATTTTGCATATTACGCCTAGACGGGGCTTGAAGCTTACATTTGATAGAATAAACATATACAATAATTATTTATACCAGGTTTTATATAAAAAACAGTATTTTTTATATTAAATACAGGTAGTATTGTCTGTATTGTGGATAATAGGTAGTCTGTCAATGACTTAAACTACAATAATTAATAAAAATAACATAATTATTTCTCCAAACAAGACAAAAGTTGATCAACTTGTTTTTAAGAAAGACTATTTTTGTTATACATAGCATATTAGTACAGTATATTTTTATAGTTAATTCAGTTAATTATCTTCCAGCCTATTCCTCGGTTCTAGATCGGTGAAGAGATTATTTATAACTATATAATTAGTACTGCAGGCTGCAGGTTAAATAAGAGAACAAAATCAAGTAGAATTTGTGAATAAAAACTCAAAAAATAATGAAAATATTTAGAAAAAGAACCGTAAACGTCAATGTCAGCCAAGTGTCAGCGTTCAATTGGATTTACCACAGATTATCAATTTGAACAATTTGAACTACAGTCGATTCCAGTCTAGATATTTTCGTTTTTTAAGCCTCCCATACTGAAGTCCGCCATATTGGGAAGTTTTAAATGAATACAAGTATAGTTGCCGGGGTCGGAAATTTTAGACTTCTCTGTCTCTTCTGTCCTTGTTTGACACATTGGAATGTTTGATACACTACCAACGAGTATTTATGAATGAGATGTTCGGTCTATCTTTATAATGTCTTTGGGAAAATCTGTATTGGATCAGGAAATGATAATTTAATATCCCGCCTTTACCTTTCCATGGACTTTATATTCGGTGTAAAACGAATCTTTTGGTTTAGATCAAGGGTATCAAGGGCCATAATCAAGGGGTTTAGATCATATATTAAAGTATATAATATGATATGATTACGGAATATGATCTAAGTCAATAAGCGCGTTCAGGGACGGTCAGTGGCTGTGTAAGCGACTTCCCTGAACGGTTTATTTTGCTCAGCGGCTGACTGTTGTGTAAAAATCATGTAAAAATAGACCATTTAGAGAACTTACTTACTTAGCCGCTGCCGTCCCTGAATGCGCACTGATTTTCTGCAAACATCTGTCACATCTGTAAAACAAGAGATATAGAGAAAAATATTCTTTTTCTATGTCTCTGTCAAACAAGGAAGGTTTCTCATTCTATGGCTTCGACCATAGAGCGAATATATTTAAGGCCATAATCATATGTTCTCTATGGTCTAACGTCTAACTAACCATAGATAAAAAAATAAGCTGCAGAGTTAGGTTATGTCACAAACAAATAATTTCGTTGTATTTAAATTTAAATTTCATTCTTTTTATTTATTTGCTACCTCTGTTTACTCTTTTTACTCTTAGTTTTACATTTTACAAAATTATTAGTGAGGTATTTTAGAGAAACTAGTTTGAAGGTATATACGTAGTTATTTGTTTTTGAGAGATTGTGTTTGTTAAATATTATACAGAATGGCTACAGGATTCTCCTTTGGAGCAACGTAAGTATGTTACTAGAATAAATTTATTAGAATAATACTGGTACTTTTTAATAGAACAACTCCTAGTCAGACATTTGGTACAGGCAGTATCACTTTTGGTACGCCATCAAATCAGCCACAGGCCCAAACTGGTATATCTTTTAGCGCAAATCCGCCTTCTTCTGTAGCTACTTCAAATTTATTTGGTACACAGGCTACTGGTAAGTATTTCTTACGTTTTTCTCTAAACTTTATCATTTTATTAGATACTTTACTTAATGTTTAGGCGCCACTAACGCCCCACTGTTTGGAACACCGTCAGCTCCAAGTTTATTTGGAGCAAATACCACAACTTCAGCTCCAAATTTCGCATTTGCAGCTCCTGCAACCCCTTCGGCTGCCAGTTTATCATTTCAAACTCCTAATGTAACTGGTAAATACAAATTTCTGTTAGGAAAATGAAAACAATTTTTAATATTAAAATGGTGATTTTAGCTGCACCTGTAAATTTAAGCTTTGGCTTACCTACACCAGCAGCAACAACTTCAGCTTTATCCTTCGGTTTACCTGGAACAGCTGCGACTACTACAGCTACACCTACTTTGGGGCTTGGTTTTGGTGCCCCAACAACTACTTCTGCACCCCCCTTTGGAAATTTTGGGTTAGGACTATCATCAGCAGTTACGACTGCTGCAGGTAAACACTTTGAATTTGCTAAGATTGGGCGTGATGTCTCTTTTTAATAGGAGAAGATATTTTAGCCTAATATATCTATATAAAATAGTAAATGGATATGTGTCTGACTCAGCTACGCTGGCACACATCACCTCACCTTACAAATTCCCTCTTATACGCGAAAGAAGAATAACGAAACCTTCTATATCTCTCAAAGGTATCTTTATTTGGTTTAAAAAAAAACAGACGTTTTGGCTATCATTATAGCCTTCATCAGTGTTGTGTGTCATACAAAAAAAAACAGTGTCGAATATTATCAAAAAAAAAAATTACATGCAGTGTGACAATTTGAAAACGAACAGTATTTAATATTACCTCTACCGATGATAGTTTGATAATTTGGCGAAATACGTCAATTTACATATCAAGGGGGACAATTTTTGAGGCATTTGTTGTCGTGTTACTTTCAACCCTTTGACCCCCAGGGCACCTACCCCTAATATTTTAAATAGCAACTCCTATTTCTTTTACAATTTTTGTGTTCCTTATAAAATTCTCAAAAAAATAATGCAGTTTATGTAGCCCACATAATGTTTACTGCAATTAATAAACTAATATAAACTTGTGAAAAGATGACCACATATTTTTTTAAATTATTATTCTTAACACTAAAACCATAGTTTAAAGAATATAAATATATCAGTTGGCCTACTCTAAGGAATTCTATTGTTATTTTGACTTCAAAGGCGGCCCGTGACCCTTCGAGGTGACAAAAAATTTGTACGTTTACCGGGTGCAGCGGAAGTGCTATTTTATCAGACAGAACGCTGGCCGTATACGAGGGATCAACTAAAAATACTAAGGAATTTTAATATAGCAAGTAGAAAAATAAAAATACAGTACTACTTTTATTGATTAACAGTTTTAGGCGTCTTTAATAATTGATCAATATTTATTAGTATTTAGTATTAAATATACCTACATTAATATTAAAATATTAGATATATTATTCTATCCTAATTCTTTGTAATATGGAATTGTTAATAGGGTAATTATTATTAATAATTATTATGGAAACCCCATATGAAAAATGTATACTAAATAAATATAATAAGTTAATTTTTTTATTATATATAATAATAATTTGCATATTTCCTAAATTATAGCATGTTTTGCTTTATAGATGTTTGCATTTTACTTTAATTACCTACCCGGAAAGCCTAAATTTTATCGTAAGGTAATAAAAGTACCTTGGCATAGAACTTGTGTTGCCATTGTCAATTTTTTTTGAATTTTTTCTAAATTTTATGATTATCATGAACAGTAATTATGACTGTTAGTAGTTAATTGTGTAATAAATTTTACTGTTCGATAAAATTTAGTAAAAACTAAAAAAAATGACTATGGCAAGACAAGTTGTATCCAAGTACTTTTTATAACCTTTTAATAAAAAGGTAGATAATTCAAGTTAAATGCAAAGAGCTAAAAAGCAAAACATGCTATAACTTAAGAAATATGCAAATATAATTTATTACAGTATTTACTACTAATTGAAGAGCACACGGGAAAAATAATGAAAGTACCAAAAAGCTACACCTTTTGGTACCTAAATAAACGGGAATATCGATAACGGCCACATAGGAACAGGCATTTAAAAATGGGAAAAACGATATAAACTCGGATATAAAAGTCCATGCGTAATTTCAATTAAAAAAAAACGGTTTCCTGAACATTTATCATTTCTGGATACTCATCGTTTTTCCCATGTGCTCGTCAATTGTTATATTTACTGTTACATAAAATTTAGTAAAAACTCTAAAAAACTTGTCAATAGCAGAAGTTGTATGCACGTATTTTTATTACCTGACGATAAAATTTGGACTTTCCAGGTAGGTAGTTAAAGTTAAATACAAACATCTAAAAAGTAAAACATGCTATTTAAAAAAATGCAAATATCTTAAATAATAATTTAATATGCAATTTGCAAACCAGTAAAGACTGCAAAATCCAAAACATAATAGTAAAGTATCTAAAATAAAAAACTAATTGTTAAAAATAAATATTTTGTGCATATTTCGAGTAAAATCTTTTCTTAATTTATATGTACATTTTTAAAACCATTTATTCATAGTTAGGTTTCCATAATTATAATATACTTAATATGTCTAATACTTTAATTATTATATACTTAATATCCTATACTATATAAACTCATACCTTCCTTCATCTTTTGGGCACCTAAAGAATGATATATTGTCTGTTATTCTACTTTCACAACCATCCACTGCACAAATATTTCTAGTAGATTTTATTCACAATTCGAACAAAAGAACTGAAACACTATTTTTGGTTCACCCCTATGGTTCACCCTATGCGTCGGACCGAAAACAAAACTAAAACAAACTTTGAACGCTGTGTACACGTCGAGCAACGGATGTAGACTGACCCAAGTCTACAAGACAGGCGGGGAGCGGCGGGAGGAATTTTGATACGGGCGAAGAGTAGGTCAACTGATATATTTATATTCTTTAAACTGTGCTAAAACTATCTACATTGCCAATGGCTGAAATCGTACTGTATATTTTATAATAAAATATATTTTTTTATAATTGAAGGTTTAGGCAGTAGTGCAGCGACAACGAGCACCATACCGGCTAGTACTTCCGCAGCACCTACGGGGCTTGGTGGAATTGCAACGACTCAAACAAAATCTACAACGGTGACAACTCAAAAAGAAGTACCACCCAAAGACCAGCCTCTCCCCAACGAGATCCTACAAAGCGTCGATACTTTCAAAGCCATGGTTAAACAGCAGAGAAATCACAGTTCCGACATAACGCGGTGTTCGGTGAAGGATTTTAGGTAGAGATTGCATTACTGGTGAAAAAGTACTAAATATGCATTAAAATACTGCCGGTAAATCTTCAGATGCTGGTAATATAGGGTTTCTACTATGGTAGAAACCATACGCCAAATTTACCAGAACAGATTGAGGGGAACATTGGAGGCTAAAGCCTTTATCTCAAAGTTTTATTACGATTGCAATAGATTTATTACAATATTTATTCTATAATTCTATTAAAATAATAAAATAGTTTCTGTGCAACACTTACATACAGCTTGCTAAAAAATTGATGAAAATAGGACTAAAAATAAGAAAAATGTAACACTTTAAAAATTTTACCAAAAATTTTTCCGATGCGTTTTTTTTTGCATCTGACTGTATATATTAACTTTAGTTGATAAATACAGGGTTGTTCACCACATACGATACGGAATATTGTAGCTAAACGATTAGATTTTTACAGATTGTAAGTATTGGGTTCGTTGAAGGACTATTAGAGCTACAATTTTAAAATATTTTTACAAGATACAGAGTGTCCCAAATGAGTAAAAAATATTAAAGTTGTATTTTTTTAAATGGAAAAAAAATAGAAATATATTATTACATTTTTATTTTCTACTATTAAAATAAAGGTAAATTTGATTAAGGTTTATTACACTTAAACCTTACTGTTTTTGAAATATTTTCAATTTTGTGAAATTGCAGTAAACATTTTAAAGCTTCATTTCTCCAAGGGGGTCAAAGTTTTTAATACTAAATATTTACTGAAGTTTATTTATTGATCAGTTATTATGTTGCAATAATAAAAATAATACTACCTTATACAGAGTGCCTAAAAAAATATTTTAAATAATTTCTAGCTTTAAACGCCAATAACTTCTATAATTTAAATGGAACGCCCTGTATATTTTAGGAGAATCAGATGCCCAGTTTAATTGTCTATCAAATTGTATTATACCATTTTTTACCTATCCTTTCAAGTTTTCGTAGAAAATGCATTTTCTTATAATTTAGACCTCATCTATCAATATACCCATGGAATATTGACATTTTAGATTGTTTTTAAAGCAACAAATGTACAAAATGTACAGGCGAGTAATATTATCGTTTTTAGCAAAACGTTAATATTACTAGCCCATTTGTATGCAAAAAGAAAACTATTTAAATCTTTATAAAAGAGTATACCATTAATTAAATATAACACCATTATTTCCGCCCAAATACTAATTAATTACATACTTAATTGTGCTCCTTAATAAATTATTCCAAATAAATGTGGATTTGAATCAGAAATCAATATAATAATAAGTTATGAAAATGAACGTCTCTGTTATAAATAAGCATTTATTAAAAAATGAAATATCATTTTTAAGGTGTTACTTTTTACCACACTGGTTTAATACACATACAAAACTCAGTTTTTTAGTATTTGGGGCAATTATTATTAATCAATGATTAATAATAATTGCCCCTTAATCAACTTTAATTAGTATCTGTACTCTTTAAAAATTTGGTACATCTTTAAAAATAATCTAAAATGTCAGTATTCCATGGGTATATTGATAAATAAGTTCTAAATTACAAGAAAATGCATTTTCTACGAAAACTTAAAGAGATAGGTAAAAAATGGTATAATACAATTTGATAGACAATTAAATTGTGCATCTGATTCTCATAAAATATACAGGGTGTTCCATTTGAATTAAACAAGTTATTGCCGTTTAAAGCTAATAATTATTTAAAATAAATTTTTAGACACTCTGTATAAGGTAGTATTATTTTTATTATTGCAACACAATAACTGATCAATAAATAAACTTCAGTAAATATTTAGTATTAAAAACTTTAATACCCTTGGAGAAATGAAGCCTTAAAATTTTTACTGCAATTTCACAAAACTGAAAATATTTAAAAAACGGTAAGGTTTAAGTGTAATAAACCTTAATCAAATTTACCTTTATTTTAATCGTAGAAAATAAAAATATAATAATATACAGGGTGTTCCATTTAACAAAATACAACTTTGATATTTTTTATTTATTTGGGACACTTTGTATCTTGTAAAAATATTTTAAAATTGTAGCTCTAATAGTCCTTCAAGGAACCCAATACTTACAATCTGTAAAAATCTAATCGTTTAGCTTCAATACTCCGTGTCGTATGTGGTGAACAACCCTGTATAAGTGGGTAAATTTGAAATCCCTAATTTTAGGAGAGTGGAACAAGAAATTGGTCAGCTTAATGGTCAGATTAACGGGATCGAAAGTCAGTTACAGAAAAACAGACAGTTAGCTGAGAAACTAAAGTATGACACAGCGAACACTGTACGAAATGTAGAAATGGCACAGCGTACGCACGATACGCCTCCAGGGTTACAGTACGAAAACACGGCGCCCCTTAGATTTTTCTTAGATCTGGCAGATCAGTTCGAGAGGGACATGCAAAATTTGAAAATGCAAATCGAAGCGGCCGATAAATACGTGAAGAATAATAAAAATCCTGACTCTCTTACTCCGCAAGGTAAGATTTCTACAAAATGCTGATCTTTGTGTGTATAATATTACTGTTTATGTGTATAATAATACCATATGATCGAAAGAATGGCGTCCAGTTGGCTTGGAAATGATGATCGGTGACAACCAACTCATATTTTTACACATAAAATGACAGCGATCTTCATTTCATCATCTATCAAAGAATGGCAAGGGAATTATATTACCATAGAAAAACATTGATAAAACGGTATGGAAATCTGGAAAATTATAACGGGATTGTATATATTGTCTTCACTTTAAATTTAAAAGGCACATTGTACCTTCATATGGGCTTATCATATGATAGATAGATAGATATAGTCTGTAAAACGAATAACTTTGAATTTGACAGTTCCCGCGGGCTTTCCTAGTGTTAATTTTATTAGGTTAGCAACTTGCGGCTATGCTGACGCAATGCCGTCTCTAATAGAACAGCCTCGGAGCGAGATTTATGACGTCACGCTAGTTAGATATTACGGATTAATAAATATGTTGTAGAATACATGGAAAACATAATTATTCCTCGTATTTTTGGTTTGTATTTTAAAAATGATATAGTTTACATGAAATATACATAATATACAGTTAATAAATACAATATATATACCTATTTATAGTAATAAATACTTTGGCAGATAAATTATGACCCATACAAATGCAGCAAATGTTTTACAATATGGCTGAAATCGTACTCCATAGTCAATGTAGATTGTTTTTGTGTTAAGAATAATAATTTAAAAAAATATGTGGTCATCTTTTGACAAGTTTATATTAGTTTATTAATTGCAGGAAACATTATAATATATAAATAAATTTTGTTAATGCAAATAATAATACATACATCACTATTAGTAAATATTGAATGTTTTTTGTTAAATTAGATCGATTTTCAAACCCCAAAATTTAAGATATATTTTACATTTTATCCATTATCTTATGTACCACCTATTCATTATTTGTATCAAAGAATATCTTAATACCCTAGAAGTCTCGTCTGGCCTCAAAATCTGACCTGTCGATGGGGCCTCGCTTTGGCGAGCGAGGCCCCAACTTCGTGGAGCCTCGCTATTTTGCTCGGAATTGAACGAATAGACGCGCGGCGTTGCCTTGTTTTGTGTGTACTTTCTTGAATAGTTTTAAATTATAGTTTTAAATTTTATCTATTGCTATAATCAGTCTTTCCGTTCTCCGCACTCCGCAGTTTACATATAATATTATCTTATATAATTCCCGTGTTACAGTTTTGGTTACCGTAGTCCTCCGAAACGGCTTAACCGATTTTGATGAAATTTTATATGTATATTCAGTAGGTCTGAGAATAGGTAGTTATATATTTTTATACCCTTAAATGATAAGGGTAGTCCACCCCCATTTTTTTTTATTTTGTGAAAAACAATATTTTAATTTTTTTTATTTGGCATTAAAAAATACAAACAACACTAAATTTTCACTGTTCTACTTTCATCCCCTATTTTTAATAGGGGTTGTTTTTTTTATTTTTGTTACCATCTCCGAAACGGCTTAACCGATTTTGATAAAATTTTATATGTATATTCAGTACGTCTAAGAATAAGTTGTTATCTATTTTTATACCCCTTAACTGATAAGGGTAGCCGAGAGGGTAACCCACCCTCATTTTTTTTTTAGTTTTTGAAAAGAAAAAAATGTTTTTTATTTTTTATTTGGCATTAAGAAATACAAATAACCCTAAATTTTCACTGTTCTATTATCATCCCCTATTTTTAATAGGGGTTGTTTTTTATTTTCTTTTGTTGCCATCTCCGAAACGGCTTAGCCGATTTTGATGAAATTTTATAAGTATATTGAGTAGGTCTGAAAACAGGTTGTTATATATTTTTTATGCCCTTAAGTGATAAGGGTAGCCCACCCCCATTTTTTTATTTAAAAAAAAAATATTTTTATTTGGCATTAAAAAATACAAACAACCCTAAGTTATCACCGTTCTACTATCATCCCCTATTTTTTAATAGGGGATGTTTTTTTTTAATTTTTTGTTACCATCTCCGAAACGGCTTGATCGATTTTGATGAAATTTTATATGTATATTCAGTAGGTCTGAGAATACGTTGTTATCTGTTTTTATACCCTTAAGTGATAAGGGTAGCCCACCCACATTTTTTTTACTTTTTGGAAAAAAAAATATTTTAGTTTTTTTTATTTGTCATTAAAAAATACAAACAACCCTAAATTTTCACCGTTCTACCATCATCCCCTATTTTTTAACAGGGGTTGTTTTCTAAGATTTTTTGTTACCATCTCCGAAACGGCTTAACCGATTTTGATAAAATTTTATTTGTATATTCAGTACGTCTAAGAATAGGTTGTTATCTATTCTTATACCCTTAAGTGATAAGGGTAGCCGAGAGGGTAGCCCACCCTCATTTTTTTATTTTTGGAAAAAAAAATATTTTTTTTTATTTGGCCTTAAAAATACAAACAACTCTAAATTTTCACCGTTCTACCATCATCCCCTATTTTTTAATAGGGGTTGTTTTTTTTAAGTTTCTTGTTACCATTTCCGAAACGGTTGTGCCGATTTTGATGAAATTTTATTATGTATATTGAGTAGGTCTGAAAATAGTTTGTTATCTATTTTTTATACCCTTAAGTGATAAGGGTAGCCCATTCCCATTTTTTTATATTTTGAAAAAATATATATTTTTATATTTTTATTTTGCATTAAAAATACAAAGAACCCAAAATTTTCACTGTTCTACCATCATCCCCTATTTTTTTAATAGGGGTTGTTTTTTTAATTTTTTGTTACCATTCGTGAAACGGCTTTGACCGATTTTGATAAAATTTTATATGTATATTCAGTACGTCTAAGAATAGGTTGTTATCTATTTTTTATACCCTTATGTGGTAAGGGTAGCCCACCCTCATTTTTTATTTTTTGAAAAGAGAAAATGTTTTTATTTTTTTAGTTGGCATTAATAAATACAAATAACCCTAAATTTTCACCGTTCCACCATCATCCCCTATATTTTAATAGGGTTTTTTTTTTAATTTTTTGTTACCATCTCCGAAACGGCTAGACCGATTTTGATAAAATTTTATATGTATATTCAGTAGGTCTGGTTTGGTTTGTTTGGTCACAACCTATTCCTAGGTTGTTATCTATTTTTATACCCCTAAGTGATAAGAGTGGCCCACCCCAACTTTTTTTTTTTTTATTTTTTAGACAAATTTTTTATTTTAATTGTTTTATAGGGAGTGCTTATTTTTAGGGGGTGCATGTCCAAAATTTTCTTCTGGGTACACACTTTCATCACTTAAGGGACCTCTGTACAAAATTGCATACTCCTAGTCCTAGAACGGATTTTACATAAAAATTATACAAATTTTACCCTTAGTTTTACCCCCTAAGGAATGAATTCCAAAATCGCTCTAATTATTCAATTACGCTACATAATAAACCTCTGTGCAAATCATCATATATAATCATCATCATATTCCTTGAACAGAATTTATTGCTCCAGAACGTTCAACCCTTCATTTCACACCCTTAGAGGGCGAATTTCCAAAAATTGCTTCTTAGTGCTAAATTACGTTACATAAGGAACGTCTGCAAAATTCATACTTCTACAACCGATTTTAACAAATTTTTGTACAAATTTTCATCCCTTATTTTTTAGGGGATGCATGCCTAAAATTCGCTTCTAGGTACTCACTTTCATCATTTAAGGGACCTCTGAACAGAATGTCATACTCCTAGTTTTAGAACGGATTTTACATAAAAAATTATACAAATTTTCACCCCTAGTTTTACCCCCTTAAGGAATGAATTCCAAAAATCACTCTAATTATTCAATTACGCTACATAAGAAACCTCTGTGCAAATTCTCATATTCCTTGAACAGAATTTATTGTTCCAGAACGTTCAACCCCTCATTTCACACCCTTAGAGGGCGAATTTCCAAAAATTGCTTCTTAGTGCTAAATTACGTTACATAAGGAACGTCTGCAAAATTCATACTTCTACAACCGATTTTAACAAATTTTTGTACAAATTTTCATCCCTTATTTTTTCAGGGGATGCATGCCTAAAATTCGCTTCTAGGTACTCACTTTCATCATTTAAGGGACCTCTGAACAGAATTTCATACTCCTAGTCCTAGAACGGATTTTACATAAAAATTATACAAATTTTCACCCCTAGTTTTACCCCCTTAAGGAATGAATTCCAAAAATCACTCTAATTATTCAATTACGCTACATAAGGAACCTCTGTGCAAATTCTCATATTCCTTGAACAGAATTTATTGTTCCAGAACGTTCAACCCCTCATTTCACACCCTTAGAGGGCGAATTTCCAAAAATTGCTTCTTAGTGCTAAATTACGTTACATAAGGAACGTCTGCAAAATTCATACTTCTAAAACCGATTTTAACAAATTTTTGTACAAATTTTCATCCCTTATTTTTTAGGGGGTGCATGCCTAAAATTCGCTTCTAGGTACTCACTTTCATCATTTAAGGGACCTCTAACAGAATTTCATACTCCTAGTCCTAGAATGGATTTTACATAAAAAAATTATACAAATTTTCACCCCTAGTTTTACTCCCTTAAGGAATGAATTCCAAAAATCACTCTAATTATTCAGTTACGCTACATAAGGAACCTCTGTGCAAATTCTCATATTCCTTGAACAGAATTTATTGTTCCAGAACGTTCAACCCCTCATTTCACACCCTTAGAGGGCGAATTTCCAAAAATTGCTTCTTAATGCTAAATTACGTTACATAAGGAACGTCTGCAACATTCATACTTCTAAAACCGATTTTAACCTTTTGTACAAATTTTCATCCCTTATTTCTAAGGGATGAATGTCAAAAATTAGCTTCTAGGTACTCACTTTCGTCACTTAAGGAAACTCCAAACCAAAATTTCATACTCCTAGAACTAACAGTTTTTGTACAAAATTTCACCCCCCAGTTTCACTACCCTTAGGCTATACATTTCCAAAAATCGCTTATCAATGTTCAAATGCGCCACATCTGTGCAAAAGTTCATACTCCTAGTAGGTACAGATTTTTTTTTGTATAATTACATCCCTTTATCTAATTACACCCCCTTATGGGTCGAATTTTAAAAATTACTTAGTAGTGCTCATCTTAGAGAGCGAATTAATATTCTCCGTATTTACTCCAGTTTCCTAATACTAGCACAGATAACACATAATCATACTAGTTAATTTTTTATTGGAATAGAAGTAATTTTTATTAGAAGGTACAAAAAAATTAAAAATCTAAAATTTTATTTTCATAGCTACGTTTTTTTCATAGCCTTAGGATGCCTCATGTACTATCGAATATACGAAATATATAATCAATACATATTTCTTTAAATATCGAGAAATAAAATATGTTTGGCAACACCGTACGAAATATCGCCGCGCGTAGTCCTCAAAATTTAAAATATTAGCATTTTCAGGCTTCGATTATGTTCAAAAGCGCCACCGTATGACAAATCACTAAAGCTTCCACACGAGAGTTCTTAAAACTATAATATTCTTTGTTTGTATATTGTAAAACATTTGCTGCATTTGTATGGTTCATAGTTTATTTGCTAAAGTATACTTTACTTATATATAAGCATAAAGTATTTGCCTACTATAAATAGGTATATATTATATTGTATTTATTAACTGTATATTATGTATATTTCATGTAAACTATATCATTTTTAAAATACAATCCAAAAATACAAGGAATAATTATGTTTTCCATGTATTCTACAACATATTTATTAATCCGTAGTATCTAACTAGCGTGACGTCATAAATCTCGCTCCGTGGCTGTTCTATTAGAGACGGCATTGCTCTAATATTTAGAAATGTCAAAAGCTGATGACATTTTACTTTTGTCAATTATGACATTTCGTGTTGATTTTTGCAAGAAGAGGAAGAACTGTCACTTGTTTTATTATTTTCCTTTTCTATTTCACGACAGTAAAAAGAGTTACCTATCTGATTCGTTCAGGCACTCAATTTAAAGAATATCAGTAACTTTTTTGATAGAGGGATTTAATATTTGCCATGTTGGTAAAAAATAACGGTCAAAATTCAAAGTTATTCATTTTATAGACTATAATAGTATATTAGCTCAAGTATAATAACAGATGTTACATACAAATACCCCGAAGGGTGTAGAACATGTCAAAAATGTTCACTATCACTATGATTCCATTTTTGTTTGTTACTTCATGGTTAACTGTATTTTGAGATTGTCCAAGTATACGTTTCTGATATGCAATTTATATTTATTAGTTTGATATAATTAAAGGTTTAGTTTTTTTTTACTTGCAATTCTGTATTGATTAAAAGTAACTTCCCCGATTACGTTCAATTTCTAATCTTGTTTTGAATGCCGTGATGAAAATAAGTCGGGGTATTATCTTAGTATTCCTTTTCACTTTTCAGTGTTGAACAGTATAGTTCTATTCAAAAATACCGTATGAACGAAAAAAAATGGCGTCCAGTTGGCTATGAAATGACAATCGATGACATTTCCCATATAAATTTACATATAAAATGACAGTAATCTTCATTTCATAGCCATCGCTGACGCCGTTTTTATTCAATCATACGGTACTATTTTTTTACATTGAAAAATCTGTCGATCTTACAAAAAACAAAGTCGGAATTTGTAAATCTTCAAGAAGATAACGAAAAGCTAAAAAAATTGACTCAAAATTGTCAATGAATTGACTTTATTTGCTAAAAGTCTGTTTTACCAACTATTTAAATCATTGATTATGAGGTTCTTTGATCACATTGTATTTTTTTAGATTTGTCTATGGGCATGAGGAGACTCCACGAAACATTTGTAGCGTTAGCGGGTAGACTACAAGCGGTGCACAGCCAGGTGGAATCGCAGAAGGAAACGTATATAAATATTCGCAAACATTTATTGCAAGATGTTAGCGATCCGTTTGAAAAACTGACAAAAGTTCCAGAGTTTCAAGTATCGAATATACAGTCTAATTTGATAAGGTCGCCGCCTAAAGTAGCAACCGGCCCGACGCCTTTCAACAATCTTTCGTTTGGTAACATAAATTCCAGTTCGCAACAAAGTATTTCCCCTCCGGCTTATCCAGGCCCAGGATCTAATCCATCTATAGGTAATGAGAGGAGTGTTTAATTAGAAAAAAAGGGGGTAAAAGAGAGTTAAAGCACGGCAATTTTACATATTTTCTTTTAATCTAAATATTTTAAGAAACAAAAAATAAATTATAAATATATAAACAGTTATTATATTTATATCAACAAAACTCACCTCCTTAACAGATCTTAGCGGACATAAAAGGCCATTACTTCAAAATAAATTACGTTCAAAATATCCTAATAAAGTTGCGATGAGTTTTTTACGGCTATTAAGGTATCTTGTTCCACTTTGCAATAAAAGAGGTTCTAAAAAGAACAACGTGCAAGGTCTGCTAGTAATAATTTTTAAGCCTATAATATCACAAAAATAGCGTTGATTTTTCTTGTTGAAATCCGATATTTCCCTAGTCAGTCTTAACCTAATTTTTTATTTTTGTTTGTTTTGTTGCTTTCAAAGCCCCCCATACTCTTCACTTATTTTTCCTGGTTTTAGCTGCAATTAAAAACGCGGGGCTAGAAAGCATTTTAAAAGATAGTTTACTTTATCAGCATCGATTATCGTTTATCCGATTCGAGAAAGAACTTGCCAGCAGAAGCGGCACTGATAGCTGTAAAAAAGCGCATAGAAAAAAATGCTGCAAAAGTTTACTAAGTCTACTAAGGATTTTCGCATATTAATTTACTAAACGGGGTTCTCTTAAAAAATTAAAATACCTTTCTTATTTATTTTGTTGAAACACCCCGTTAAAGAGTCCAGTTTCTTTTTTACACTTTTCCCTTTGAATAAGAAGACTAAGGAAGGAGCATATCAAAAATCTTAGGTCCACCGCGATGGACCTCAAATATGGCGGACTTGAATTCCGGTTTATCAGTGCCGTTCTAATTTTATTTAAAAAATGTAAAACTATGATGTAGGGTAGATGTGTGGTAGACTCTATAATTTTTTATTTATTTTACGTTGTGAATAACTGTTGGTAGTTATTAAAATTGTTATAAAAATATAAAATTCTAATAAAAATAGATAAGTTATAATAATTATTTATAACCATAAACATCCGACACGTTACTGAAGCAGGTAAGTCAAATTGACGTATCTAAATTCTTTGACATCTAATCTTTGACAAGTAATAAATAATAGCAAAAATGCAAGAAAAAATATATAATTAGTTAATTTAAGTGAATTTCATAAATGATCGGTTTACTACACGTATGTATATTATATAGTCACTTATTAGCGAAAAGTTGTTCCATTATTTCACTCAATTTTTGCCGAGATCTACCGCACGCTACACAACCAACTATTTTAGAGTCTTTTTCGATAAATCGCGATAGTGTCACTGTTAATTTAAATTCTGCCACAATTTCCATCTAGATTTACTACCATTATACAACTATCAGTAGTAGAATAAATAATAAATAACATAAAATAACCTCCGTAAAGACTGACAAATCCATAAAATTTCAAATCAAATTCAAATGTGTCAAATGAATCGTCAAACAGAACTGTCAAGGATCCCCACCCTAGGGTGCTTTTTCTGCCCACCATGCATGAATACATGGATAGCATTATGCTCCTTAACCAATCCTTAACTAATTCTTCTTCCTGTGCCTTGTGCTTAGCCGCACGTTGGCGATTGTCTGTACTCTTCATACAATGTGTAGACTGCCGTTTTCGGCTCTTCGAAATATGGTGGCTGCGTCGCTGATGTTACACCAATCCCGTATGTTTCTTAGCCAGGAATGTTGTTTTCTTACTGGGCCTCGCAGTCCCTCTATTTTTCCTTGTAGAATCAGCTAAGGAATGTAATATTTGTCTCCTCTAAGGATATGTCCGAGGTATGAGACTTTCCTTTCTTTAACTATGTTAAGCATTTCTCGTTCATAGCCTGCAGTTCTTAAAACTTCTTCGTTGGTGGCATGTGCGGTCCATGGCACACGTAAGAGTCTCCGGAGAGTCCACATTTCGAAAGCCTCGATGCGGTTCAGGGTTCTAGCCTTGAGAGACCAGGTGTCTGCGCCGTACAGTAAGATTGGCCATATGTAGCATTTTACTACCCGTAGTCTAATGGTGGGTTCATACTTCGAGTATTAACCCTAACCTTACCCTTAACATTAACCCTAAGAAATTAACCTTGAGAACTTAAGGAAAGGCCGTTCATACTTCTCCTACTTGTCTTAAGAAAATAATCAATATTCTCGTAAGCGCTTGCGCTCATATAAAACATATGTTTTGAACTAACCTAAATTCACAATTATTTTTAAAATTTCTAATACTAGAGAAACTAATTTTACATTAATAATTTCTAGACCAAAAAATATATAATTTATTTACATTTATAAACCGTCAAAGTCAACATGTCAGAAATTATTTCGAGAATTCTTAAGACTCCTAGCTTTGAGCATGCGCGATTCAGTTTTGAATTAGCATTAGCCCTAAGAATATAAAATATCCCAACCTGTTAGGACTAATGTTAGGGCCGATACAACGAGAGCATGAACGCTAGCGTTCGTTAACGTTGATTCATATTCTTGGGGTTAGGACTAATGTTAGTGTTAGGGCTAAGATCGGAAGCATGAACCCACCATTAGTGTTAGCGGGAGACTGCGTGCTAATAGGAAGTTTTTAAGTTTAAAAAATGTTGACTTTGCATAATTCGTTCTAAGTTTAACTTCCTCATCGCAGTCCCATCGTTCATTGATCATGGCACCCAGATATTTAAATCGTGGAACTCGCTCTATAATATTTCCATCCACGGTCAATGCGGTGTTGATTGTAGGCTGGCGTCCTATTACCATAAGTTTGGTCTTGGCAGCGTTGATTTTAAGACCGAAACGATTTCCCATGTCCCCTATCTTATTTATTATTTGCTGGAGATCCTCTAAAGTTGGTGCTAGTATTGCCGTATCATCTGCATATCTTATATTGTTAATTGGAACTCCGTTAATCTTAATTTCTCCACTTTCTCCCTTCCAGGGCCATTTGAAATATCTTTTCGACGTATATATTAAAAAGTATTGGTGACAGTATACAACCCTGGGGGACACCTTGACACACATTGAAGGTGTCTGTGGATAAATTTTTGTTAACTCTTATCTCCGCGGTTTGGTTCCAATATAGTTCCTGTATGATTCTAATGTCTTTGGCGTCTATTCCTATCTCGAGCAGTCTGTTTAGGAGAATATCGTGTTTAACATTGTCGAAAGCCTTCTGATAATCTATGAAGCACACAAAAACATCTTGGCCTTGATCATAACATTTCTGGATTAGTAGCTTGATTGAAAACAAAGCCTCTCTGGTACCCAGCCCCTTGATGAAGCCGAACTGTGTCTCTCCGCTTTTTTCTTCACATTTCGAGTATATACGAGTATGCATGACTCGAAGAAAAAGTTTCAGAGCATGACTCATTAGACTTATAAGTCTGTAGTCACTACAGTCTTTTGGAGATGCCTTTTTGGGAATTGTTATAAAAGTTGATTTTAGCCAGTCGTTTGGAATTTTACCTGTATCGTATATTCGATTGAATAGATATGTGACCTTAACTAATAACCATACTCATGTGACCTAATAACCTAATAATGTGACCTAACTAATAACCATACTAATGTGACCTTAACTAATAACCATACTAATAACTATATCGGTGACTAAGTGCTGGCGCCACTGGCTAGAATAAAACTGCGCCGTTTAGGCCCATAATACAAGAAAGAAACGAATGAGTCGAACCGTACACTTGAAATATCTGGCGAAAACAGATATTGAATGAACAGGCAAAACTGGACCAAACACTCATACAATTGCGTTTTTAACTAAACAGTTCTACCCGTTCTGTTAAAACCGGGCAAGATTACCGAAGTGTATGGGGGCAGGGGGGTCTTAACATATACATCCGTGTCCGTGCTTTAACTGTCTGATAATACTGGTTTTTAGGTGTCAGCGTACCTCTAGGTACGACTCAATCATCAAATTTATCTCTTTTTGGATCATCTTTTGGACAAACGCCATTGAATGATACATTTCAGTTGCAGAAACCTCCTGCTGGTAATAAGAGGGGAAAAATATAGTATTTTATCTACAGCAATTAAAAAATCACCATATTTTATAAATAATATTTTTTCCCATATACATACATGATAACAATACATATAAAATTATTTGATCTTAAAACATAAATAGACTGTTAAAACTTATTTACAAAATAATGTACAATAAAAAAAAAATCATATTGTCTTAAATAGCTCCAACTTGTAATACAGGAATTAATAACTGAAACGCTGTTTGAATGTATGTCCCACTATTTGCTGCCTGAAAATTAAGAAAAGTGAATAAAGTTATAATATTAATTATAATTATGATTTATTTAAATTATTTGAAGGACATCTTGCGTTCAAACCGGCTGTGCCGCTCCGCACCGCGCAAAACATTTTTTTAACATGTATTTTTGAAGAGTATTTTTTAGCGCGCACAAAAGTATTTGTTAAAAAGATGATTCGCGTGGTGCGGCGCATCCGGTATGAACGCATCTTTAGAAGTCTTAAAAAACTTTTGTTGAAAGATAGACTAATTATGTCATTTCTTACTTCATAAAAAATATTAGTTATATATTCATTGGCCTGACATTTGCTGATTTCCTGAAATGATCTCAATTTATCAGTGAATTTACTAGCTTCTACTAAAATAAGTGATTTTAGAGTGACGGTGATACTACAATAAAAAATAGAATGTATTAAGTTAAAATTTTCCTTTTGTATAACTTACTGCACCAAACTATCAGCTTCATCTGCTGTACTTCTGTGTTCCTTAACCATAAGCAATTCTCCAGTTTTATGAAACTGTTCGACTGCAGCAGCAGTTAACTGCGCCAACGTTTCAATTGCTTGTTGGTGCAATTCCACATCATTGATAAGTGTAAAATTTACATTGCCTAGCCATGAGTTGGCTTCTTCACAAATACCAAATAGTTTACTATAGGAAATGGGAATATTTATTTCTTTGATGGCATTTTCTATAGCATCCCGGGCTTCAACAATTGTGATTTTATCTTCATCATCTTCTTCAGGAAGCTCACATAATTCCTTTACCTGTTCTAAAGTTTCTTGCATATCTTTCAATTCTGTAGAACTTAAAGCAGTTTTAGAGTTGTGTAGTTTAATAGTACAAACTTTTGACAGCATTTCTAAAGCTTCCAAATGCACAAGACCTTGATAATCATCAAATAGGGATTCGTAATTTTTTGTTCTTTTAATATCATTATCTTTGTGATATTTAGATTCCTCTTCGGATTTTTCTTTTGCTTCTCTTAAAATTTGTGATAAATTAGGTTTACCACTTTCTAATTTAAATAATGCTCGTTTTTTCTTTAATCCTGGGTCTCCTTCCTGTAGAACTTCTACAGTTTTTTTACCTATGGCTTCTAGTGTATCTAAACTTCCTGTAATAACTTTTGTGCCTGTAGATTCCACAAATTTAGTTAAGTGAGAAACACCCGATACTAAATTCTCTAATCCAAATAAGTTCTCTGTTACTTGTGCTTCAGTATTGTTATTCTTTATTGCATTAATCCGAGCCATTTCTTCTGGATCTGGGATTCCAATACTACCTTCTAATACAGAAGATAAACCTTGCGACACATGATTTGTTATAGTAGAAACACTTTGTGTGGCTGTGTTTAAAATAGAGGATACACCCCAATTACTCCATCCTCCCCAACTGGATTGGGCATGATCATCTTGCTCATGTTCTCTTCCTGGATTGTCTAAAGTCTCTTTAAAATCATTTAAATTACTTTTATTGGGTTTTACACTATTAGATAGATCCGACTCCCATTCAGCATCAAAGTCATCCCAACCGCTATCTTCATTTTGTAAATTTGGAGGTTTTTCGGTCCTTTGTGCTTCTTCTTTGCTACCTTCTATTTCCCAGTCTAACTCATCATCATCCCACAAATTTTCTTCGCTTTCTGGTACATTAACGTTGTTTTCTACTGAATCTAAAACATCTTTTTTACACTGGTTATCTTTTTTGATATCCTTAATATTTTTACAACTATGGTCTATATGTTCAGGCTTTAATACAACTTCTTTTCCATTATTGTACTCAATGCTAGTAAGTTCTTCTTTTGTATGTTGTTTACTAGTTTTAGCTTCTTTCAACAAATTATGTGAACTTTCATCATCTGCATTTAATATTAATATCTGCTCACTATCAGTTTTATTAGAATTGAAATTAGGGCTACTTTCTGTAGCTGGTTTTGTAGATATTTCACTAAACTCAGAGTCCTTGTTCTCTTCCAATTTAAGCTTGCAAAGTTCAGGTTCAATAACTTTAGGGTTTAGAGAATGGGGGTGTTTTCCTCTGGTATGATCATTTTCTTCATGATCGGAATCCAAATCTTCATCAGCGCTTTCGAAACATTCACTATCCGATGTTTCCATTGTAAATATACGCTTTTGAGAGGAAAAGAAATTATTTCTGCAGTATTTTAAATAGGGTAAACAGCTGTTAATCCTGAAAAACAAAGATAAAGTCACAGATAAAGTTTAACATTTGACATGTCCAACTAGACGAACCATAGATTAACCCTCGACATCTCGACAATCATATATTTTCGTATCTATAGAAGCTTCTATCCATAGCTTCTATAGAAGGATTTATATATGAACTACAACAAAAAAGATAGTTCTGTGGTTATAATCAGGGATGGGCACGTAAAAGCCTAATGTATACTACGTAGTTTAATTTCGCGTGAAAATTAAAGTTTTTACGGGCCTGGTTTTTACTTTTGATAAAAATGTTTGATCATGGCATATTTTTAATATGCCGTGGTAATACCTATACCGTTATTTAAATAAAAAATTCGTAGATGTAAATACAATGGAAAGTTTTCAGAAAAATATCGATATTTACGCCTGTCAAAATGAGAATTGACAGATTTGCCCTTTTTGCGAAACAAGAATTGACACATTGACATTGACAGCGATTTGTTTTGATATTTACATGATATTTACTTTTTACTTATTTACATTTGAAAATTGAAGAAAATACCTAGAATTTAGATAGTGTTTAAATATTTGGTGTTTACTTAAGATAAATTAAATAATATAAATCAATACCACGATAGCTTATGTGTATGTCTTACCATTTTTCAATTATTATAGTGGCTAGTCCTGAAATTATTTAATCTTGTTTCAATTTATTGAATTAAATTTCTAGTAAGGGAAGAAAAATGGTTTTAATTCGACCAGAAGATTACGCCGGAGACAATGCAGACAATATAAGTCAAGTTTCTTACAGTGTTAAGACACCCAAACGCGTACTACAATTTTCTGATGGAGTGTTGGAAGAATATAGTACGGATGAAGAGGAACAAGAAGAAAATAAGAAGACAGAAATTATTAGTGCAGCGGTTTGTTGATAAACACTCAACATATTTTTGTATGTTTATGCTTAAACTTAATAAACGTTTTAGGACAACTTACCGTGGTCAACCTGGCTTTTTTATAAGGCGCTTTCAGCAGGTAATTCATTTCTATCGGTAATAGATTATTGTGGCGATCATTTGGCTTGGTTCTTTGGCATTACAACACCAAGGTAGGGATCTGCTAATTTTGTTGAATTGTTTATTAAATAGAATTATCATAAGTTAACATTGTAGGTATTATTTTGAATTAGAAGAGTATAAAAGACGACAAGAACTTGAAAAGAAGCAAGCTGAAAAGGAAAAAGGATGGTGTGATAATAAAGAAACAGTTCAAATTGATGAACCATCAACAAGTGGTTTTCTTACGAAACCCAAAGAGAATATCGAAGTTTGATATGATTAATTTGATTGTATTCCAGTTTTTAACAATTATTTAACAATGTTATTATTTTTGTACTGATAACTGAATAAGAAATATTTAGGAAACTAAAATACTGGTATACTTCTAATAAATATATATTTGTTTATACTGGAATGAATTACATTAGTCATATCCTGACCAATATAAATATACGACTCTATGATCGAAAAAAAAACGGCGTCAGCGATGGCTATGAAATGATTGTATGGAGAATGTCATCGATCGTCATTTCCTAGCCAACTGGACGCCAAATTTTTCGATTATATGGTATAATACTTTAACAATAAAATATGAAATATAATGAAGTTGATTGTTTATTATGAAGTATCACAGTATTTACACAGATTATAATGTAACTTGAAAATGTGAACATGTGTATATGTATTACACCTATGGCTGTTAATAAAATTTAAAATGTTGGTAAATGCTAATATCAATGCTAATATCACAACCTTGCATAGTCATATACGAGCCCTAATAACTATATATGTTGGGACAAGGTCATATTATGGAATTATTGCCCTGGTTTTTCAAAATGACTGAAAAATATATGTTTAATTTTTTAAATATAAACTTAGCTATATATCCTAAACAACTTGACAATATTTTTATGAATTTGTAAATCAATTCATATTTACAGTAGCGGATTTTGTTCATAAAAGGACAAATTTGCTGACAACTAAATGTGGGGACAAGTATTTTTAAATAATTAATATTATCATAGGCGGCTTTGCTATAAACGTCACAAATGTCGCAAACTGTGTACTTCACCATTGACAGCTTGTAAGTGACTCGATACTTTGAGTAATGAGATTTGCTGTAAGACATTTTAATTTTTTTAATTTTCAATTTTGTTAATGTAATCCAAAGTAATGGTCCGTGGAAAAGCTACAAATCAAAAACTACGCGAAATTATCATTCGTCAATACAGTACCGGAAAAACAATTCGAAAAGTTTCTGATGATTTAAGTATTCCAAAAACGACGGTCTTTAATATAATAAAAAAATACGGCGAATCTGCCAACGTAGACGTTAGAGGTAAAAGTTTGGGAAGGCCAAAAGTTGTATCTCAGAGAGATTTACGAAATTTAGTAAAAATTTGCAAGTCTGCGAGAAGAAGTACTCTTCGCGAAGTAACAGTTAAATGGAATACTGTAACTGGTTTAAATATATCAAGAGAATGTTGCCGATAATATATCCATAAATGCGGTCTGGGGTTTTACAAAGATAAACTTTATTTTGTGTGATAATCAATTACCTGAAGATTATTGATACAAATTCTTATTTAGGCCAAAGAAAATCCGCTACTGACAGAAATTCAAAAGAAAAATCGCTACAATTGGGCAAAATCTAAATTATCGTGGACACAAAATGATTGGAATAAGGTCATATTTAGCGATGAGTCTAAATTTGATGTTTGCGTTGGAGATCATCGAAAACGAATAATACGAAATATAGCAGAATAATTTCATAAAGATTTCTTAAAGAGGGTTGTTAAATTTCCTAAGGGGATTATGGTTTGGGGTTGCATGTCAGCAAGAGGTTTGGGCAAATTAAATTTTATAGATAGCACTGTTAACGCCCAAAAATATCAACATATTCTTGAGACCTCACTTTTGCCTAGTGCTCAAGAATTGTTTCCAAACGAAGACTATATTTTCCAACAAGATGGAGCATCGTGCCATTCAGCAAGATCAACTAAAAATTGGTTCGGTAATAATAATATAAAACTTCTATCCCATCCTTCAAGTAGTCCGGACCTCAATGTTATAGAAACTGTGTGGCAAATGAAGCAATATTTAAGAAACCACCCTCAACGAACAATTTTTGATTTGCGGACAAAACTGCAGGAAATTTAGGATAATTTTTCTCCTCAAATGTGCTAATCTTTGGTAAATACAATGCCATTAAGAGTTCAGGCAATTGTTAAGGCGAAAGGTGATGTAACTCCGTATTAAACAAATTTCTTGTTGTGCTGTCCCAATATATAGTTGTCAGCAAATTTGGCTTGATTTTTTCAAAATAAGCTATTATCAAAAGTGATTTGTTTGCAAAGTTATAAAAATATAGTAAAATTGTCTAGATCATATTGTAATGTTTGAATTTAGAATAATAAACAAAATAAATTGAGTCGTTTTAACAAATTACTATTTTTATTGCAAAAAATGGCCTTGTCCCAACATAGTTGTTAGGGCTCGTATTTTGTGCTAATATACAATGATTAATAAAGTTTTAAAATTGAAATCCTTGAACCTTGAACCTCCTTACATGGAATATGGTATTTTTATGAAAATTTAAAGGCAGGGTAGGGTCAGTGCACTGGTTATCCGGCCAGCACTGGTCCTCGGCCTTTTTAGGATTTAAAGCTAAATATTAGTAAATTTAATGGCCGTTTGTCCAGTCCAAATGGTAAAATAGATTCATGTATCATTTATCTATCGAAAGTAGTAGGGGTTAAGATGGAGATGCAACTAATAAGCATGCGAAAAAGCCACAGTTCTTGGACACGCAACAGAACAACATAGGTAGTGTTTCAAATGTAAATGTGCTTACTAGTGTGAAGCTACAAAATAGTAAGTATTTTATTATTTTTTTACTCTAGGTACTTGTAATGTATAATATATGATGGGGGAAGGGTAAAAACATGTAAATATATGTCAAAACTAAGCAAAAATTGGGTTTTTAGTTAAAATTTTGAGGGGCCGCAAACCAGTAATTAAAAAACACGCTCTTTTAGTTCTCGGCCAACATGGCCGAAAGTCATATAAAAGTTATTTTTTCAATCTTAAAAAACTATAAAAAAACATATTTTGTCTTGTGTTTGTTATTTTTTTTATTTACTTATATTATTGCTTTTTAATTATTAGATTGCGGCCGCTAAATTAATTCGAATATAAAATATAATTTAATCAAAAATTATGTTTAAAAATAGTGACCGAGAACTAGCCTTTCTCGGCCACCATGAAAAATAGTGTGGCCGAGAACCAAGATCACTGTAGATTTCGGTTCTCGACCGCTAACCAACTCTAATCCTTTTGATTTTTTTCAATGGCTAGGGAAACTAGGAGAAATAAAACCCAGGGTAATAAAACCGTCTTGATACGACCTAAAGTATCCAGGATTAAAAGGAGGATGTACCAATACACAGAGGAAGATCTCAAGAATGCTCTGCGTGAGATCTGGGAAAACAAAATGAAAATAAGGAAGGCCAGTCGAAGATTTAATGTACCAAGGGCGACGATCCAGGATTGAATCAAAGGAAGAGTACCCGATCTTCTGAGGAAGCCCGATTTATGTTCAACGCCGAAGGAAAATTTGCTCCTCCACTTCATGTGCGACTTCCCAGGGCTGTCATTGCCAATATGCCGAGCGGTTGGGTGTTAGGAAAGTCAGAAAGAGGATGGATGGACATCTGATTTATTTTTTGAGTTTATCAATAATGATTTTAACAAATGGCTGATTACAGAAAATATTCCGAAGCCTGTTATCCTGTTTGTGGATGGACATAAATCCCATCTCACTATGACAATTAGTGAGTGGTGCCACAATAATGAAATAATTGCTCTTTCACCTAACATCACCCACATGCTTCAGCCTGCTGACGTTAGCGTCTTCAAACCGATGAAATCGGAATGGAAAAAAACAGTTTGTAAGTGGCAGAACAAACCCGAAAATCTAAATTGCTGGGTGACAAAAATTAATTTTTGAGCGTGTTTGACGAAATTTTATCAAAATCTGACAGATTTAAGAATTCTGTAAAGAATAGCTTCAGAAAATCAGATACCTATGGTTATAGGTATTTAACCGGTACCTAATGTTTATAGTTACTTATTTGTTATAGTTTATTTAGGTTTTAAGGAGCCTATTGCTATTATTGTATTACTAATATTCCTGCCATACATACATATAAGTTTTTTAATTAAAGTTTTTTTATTGATACCTTCATAAATTAATTGATTCTTAATTAGGTACGCAGAATCATAGTAAGGTATCCTACCTATATTCTAGGTATACCTACATGGCCGAGAACCAATACAAAATTGGCCGAGAACTGTGAGTGGTGGCCAAGAACCAGTAAAATAGCACTTTTTTCGGTTATTATTGTTTTTTTACAAAAGTTTTGAAAATAAAAATTTAAAAAAAAATCCATAATTATTAAAACACTCTACCGAACATTTTTTGTATTGGGCAAATTATGATTTAAAATCTCCTTCCATATCTAATTTGCTTTCAAAGTCAAAATTTCCGTTAAAAGGCCGAGAACCAATGCATTGACCCTAGGTTTGTTTTTGTGTGAGAGATGTTCGTCACGGAGTAGCATAGGGAATATAGGGAATGTCGGGAGTGCGTTGTGGGGTTGGAATGCGTGGTGCGTAGCGGGTTACAAGCCAAATACAAGCCAAAATCTAATATTATATTTTTAGGACTATAAAAAATATAGATTTCTAAAGTTTTGAACTAATGTATATAAAATATACACTGATATATAAGATTTTATGTGTTTTATTTAAAAAAAAAACTGATAATTTAATGTGGTCAGAGAGAAATATTAAGATATTCTTGTATTTAATTTTAGATTTAGCGAGGTCCTTCGCCATTTTCTCATAAATGTTTTTAAAGCTATTTGAATGTTTTTGTATATTTTTATAACAATAGAAAACTTAAATACAAAATACTGAAGAAATTATGTATAGTCTGTCCAACGAGAAGATCCTTGACAGTGATAGATGTGTCTGTCATTTTAATTTCAAAGTAGTTTATTTTATTTTACAAAGAAATAAGTTGGTAGAACTGGAACGCATAGCAGGAAATATTTAAAATTTGATTGACAAGATGACAAGTGATTACTTCAAAATATTATGAAAAAACTGTATAACTGAAAAAATGTAATCGAGTTATTTTATTTAATAAAAACGGTATGTGTTAATACAAAACAAACAAGAACAAGACACTACATACCAAAAAAATATAAAAAAGAACTATTATTTTCTTTCAAGCTTTATGAAACTACCCGCATTTATGATTATATTTATCAAAATAACTTATGTACAAATACAAATTTGTAATATTCCACAGGAATAAATAAAACAACATAGGTAAATAAAACAAACTATTTTATTAATAATAACACCTACCAAATTTTATACATTAAAGGTTGATTAATTAACTTTAATCTTAATTTTTTTAAACCAGTACCTTTTGACATTATTTTTCTGCAGTACTAAAATCCATTATTTACCTATCGTGTGATGTCGATATTTTACAGCTACTCCAGTTTTTAGTATATGTTTAGTTTGATTCTTTCTACCATATACGAGATGCACTTATCTACGACGAAATGGTATACAAACTTTATCGATGGCAACTTCATTGGTATATAAGACTTTCTGCCTGGGCAGCGAGTATTAACCATAAACTGTGCTCT